GGAGCCCGTGGAGCCCTGTGTCTAAAGCACTGAAAGCAAAAGTACCTTTCAAACACTCAAGTCGAAATAAAGACATTTTCAAACAGATGCTGGAAGAATTCATCACCAGCAGAACTTGCCTAAAAAAAAATGTTAAAGAAATTCCTTCAAGCAGAAGGAAGATGATACCAGATGGAATCTTTGACCTATACAAAGGGATGAAGGAATCTGGAAATGAAGCTACCGAGGTAAAAATAAAAACTTTTTCCATATTATTTCAATATATTTAAAGGTAATTTGCCGTACGAATAAAAATAATAACAATGCATTGTGGGACTTTTATGCAGGAATGAAATGTAAGATGATACCAATAGCACGAAGGCCAGGAGGAGAGAGATGGAAGTGAACTGCCGTACGGCTTTCGTGTTATGTGTGAAGTAGTATGATATTACTTGAGGGCACGCTGTGATAAAGATGTATACTTAAACCTAAAGCAGCAAATAAAATGACACAACAAAAAGCTATATACGATAAGCCATCAAAGGAGATAAAATGGAATCATGAAAAATAATACAGAAAAAGGCAGAAAAAGAAGAACAGGGAACAAAGGATGAATAACAAATAAAAACACTAAGATGTTCGATTTAAATCTAACCATTTGAAAATAACATCGGATGTCAGCGATCTAAACACTCCGTTAAAAGGCAGAGACTATCAGATTGGATGAAAAAAAAAAAAAGACCCGATTATAATTTGCCTACGAAAAAATCTGCTTTAAAGATAGAACACAAACCAAGGATGGCCTTTAATCAACGGTCAGCAAGGAACTGAGACCTCCAGTCCAACAGTCCTCGAGGAACTGAATTCTGCCCATAACCATGAGAATTCAGCAGTGGATTCTTCCCCAGTTGACCCTTCGGATGAGCCCCTAACCCTTGAAGACACCTTGATTTCAGTCTTGTGAGGGACTCTAAAGTAAGGACGCAGCTAAGCCATGGCCAAACTCCTCACCCACAGGAATTGTGAGATGGTAAATATGTGTTGTAAGTCTCAAGGTTGTACATAATTGCGGCAAACAAGGCAAAGAAGGGAGCACTCTCAACCTGAAAAAGACCATTTACAAAAAACCTACGTATAACATCACACTTAATGGTGAGAGATGTAATGCTTTTCCCTCAGATCATGAATAAAGAAAGCTGTCTCCTCTTATTACTTCTAGTCAACATTGCATTGGAGGTTCTATCCAGTGCAATAAAGCAAGAAAAAGTAATGCGAGACATCTAGGTTTGAAAAAAAAGTAAAATTGTGTTCATTCACAGATGACATGATTGCTTACATAGAAATCCTGTGGAATTTACAGTAGATTACTAGAATGATTAGTGAGCTTAGCAAGGTTGCAGGATATGATATTAATATACAAAAATAAATTATCAATTTTATATAGTAGCCACACACCATCAGAAATTTAAATAAAAATACCACTTAAAAAGCATCAGAAATATGAATAATAGAAATCAGAAATAGGAATAAATCTGACAAAATATATGCAAGCCCTACATACTGAAAACAAAAACACAGCTCGGACAAATTAGAGACCAAAATAAAGAGAGAGCTTTATTGTGTTCACGGGTCATAAGAGTCAATATTTTTATAATGTCAATTCTCCTCAAATAGATTCACAGCAACCCCAGTCAAATCCCTCTCCCCCCTTTTTTTTGTATACATTGACAAACGGATCTTAAAATTTGTATGGAAGTCCAAAGAGGCTAGAATAGCCAAAACGACTTTGAAAAATAAGAGGATGCTCACTGTTACTTCCTGACTTGAAGATTTCTTACAGAGCCACAGTATGTGATACAATGTGGTCCTGGTGTCAAAACAGACAAATACATCAATGAAACAGAATAGAGAAAGAGAGCAATGGCTCTGCTATGGACCCCCGGCGACCTTGAGTGTATCCACATAGGCCACACAAAGGTTTGAACCATTGCTGATCTAAGTGTCGTTAGAATAGCCCAGGATCCTTCTGGGTGGGAGGCTTGTAAGGAGCTGCTACAGGCCAAAGTCCACTTGCCTCTCCGTGTCTCTTGGGAGGCTTTCACGAGACAGCTCTGCATTGCCTCCTGGGTTCTCCCGAGCTTTGAAACTTCCTGCCTTGCCCGCCTCAGAACACAGCTGGAGACCATAAAACCACTCAGCTAAAGTCTAGATTTGGCTGCTCAGTGGTAACCTACAAGTCATACTGCCACCATCTGGCCCCTTTTGTTTAGGTATTGTCCTTCGTGGGACAAGGAGCGTGAGGAATTGGTGCTTGGGGCTATTCTTCCTTTCACTGTGCATATAAGCGATAAATGGCCTGAAGCTAAGAGGTGATCAGTCAGACCTTGCCCTGTCTTGTGTGTACTTAACAAGAGAGTCCAGCAATAAACCTACACACATGTAGTCAGTTGATTTTCAATAAAGGTGCAAAGTCAGTTAGTGAAGATAGGAGAAGCTTTTTGACAAATGGTGTTGGAACAATTGGATATCCACATGCGAAAAAAAAAAAAAGTGTCCATCCATACCTCACGCCATATTCAGAAATTAACTCAAAATGGGGCATAGACTGAAATGTAAAAGATAAAATTACTGAATTTAAAGAGGGAAACATTGGAGGAAATCTGTTACCTTGAGTTAGGCAAAGATTTTTTTTTAGATACAAAAGCCCAACAGAGTCCCTAAAATAAAAAAAAATCAATAAACTGGATCCCACCAAAATTAAGAACTCCTATTCTTCAAAAGACACTTTTAAGAGAAAAAAAATATAACCAGAGACCGGGAGATAATATTTATAAATCACACGTCTGACAAGGGACTTGTATCCAGGATATATTTTAAAAACCTCAAAATTTAAGAAGAAAACAAACAACCTAATTTTTAAAACAGGCACAAGATTTGAACAGGCACGTCACCAAAGAAGATACATGGATGGCAGATAAGTACACAAAAAGATGCTCGCCGTCACTTGTCATCAGGGGAATGCAAATCCAAACTCCAATGGGATACTCTGCACACCCAGAGACTGGCTACAGGTAGAGAGCAGCCACACCAAATACCGGCGAGGATGCGGAGAAACTGGAACCCTTGTCCGGTGCTGGTGGGAACCCGGTCTGGCAGTTTCTCAAAAGGTTATCTTTTATTGATTCATTTTCATAGTTAAAAGGAAGTTTTTATTAACAAGAAAGGGTCTTCTTAATTCGTATAATTCCCATTCTTAATATTGAACGGGACGAGATGCTCTATACTCCAAGTCTCACCTGCGGACACTCTGTCAGTCAGGTCCTCTCAGCACGTTTGCCGGCATTTCTACTGTAACAGGTAAAAGCCATAAACGTCCAGCTATTTAACTAAAAGAAGTAACTACATTGGGGGAAAAAATTAGAGATTTTTTTTATCATATAAGTTTGGAGTAAAAAAACAAACAGGATAAAATTTGTTCTGAAATCTTTTTTTTCTTTTCTTTTTTTTCTTTATCATTAGAGCATTTATCACACCTAAAAGGTTATCTTTTAATCGCACGATAGGACCCAGCCTTTCCAATCGAAGGTCCTTATCCAGGAGAAGTGAAAGCGCACACACCCGAAGGCTGGCACACCCACCTTCACAGAGCTTTAACTGTAATCGGCCCAAGCTGGAGACAGACAAATGTCTCTCAACATATGAATGGAGAAAAACCGTATACCGTGGAACACCACTCGGCCAGGAAGAGGAGTGCGTCGCGGATACACATGGTGTGCTCAATCTCAAAGTTATTATGTGTGGCAGACAAAAGGGAGCGCGTTCCATTGATATAACGGTCGCGCAAGATCGGGCTAAACTGGAGCGTCGAAACGGCGGAGGAGGGAGGGGGAGATGCCGGTGGGGGAGGGGACGTTTTCATGGTGACGGCTGTGCTCACTCCTTTGATAACAGGGCTGTGTCAGGCGTGCTTATCCCTGTGCCCAGGTTGATCGGATTGCACACTTGAATTGTGAGCAGCTCTTTGTATGCAGTTACACCCCCGGTAAAACTGTTTTTTCAAAAAATATCCTGTTAGAACATTGTTTCCTTCAGTCACTCTCAAGACTTTTGGTGGTCGGCGTGCCTCTCTGAGTTCGCATTCTGAACTCGGGGGACATTTGTAGGTGCTGCCCCTGCTTTGGTCACTGAGAGCCCGGCGTCCTGCCTGCCTGCAACGTGACATGGTGATTTTATTTAATCCTCACTCTAGAGATAGAAGACCAAGAAATTAACAACCCCGAGGGCAGGGACTAGAACACTTTGACTAAAAGAAATGTCAAGATGACACACTGCAAGCTGAGAAACGGAACATAAATCCTCTGCTATGACACGGTGGCCCCGCAGCCTCTCCTGGGCCCACTGGACCCTGTGGGGACAGATTCTGCAGGAATGTACGCGGGGCTGGACGAGGAAGTTGCAGAACCTCCCGAACCCCAGAACCTGGGCGGGTGGTGGGCTTGGGGGCCGCTGCGCCCCCCAAAATGCCAAGCCCAGCTCGACTTCCTAGTGGGGCTCCGGAGCCCCGCCTGAGGAGCTAACCATTTATGTCACACTGTGACAATTATTCTGCATAAAATTATCATTAAAAACCCTAATTTCTCAGCCTCCAACCCCTCCAGTGGCCTTTTAGCATTCCTCGGCGCCGTGTCTGCGGGCCTGATCACCCCGCTCATTACCTCGGCGTGGCGCCTCCCCCCTCCGCTCGCAATCAAGGCTAATTACACCCTCCCGGGGCCGGAGCCGGGTCGGGGTGGAGCGGGCGATGTGGCCGCTGCGGAGCTTTGGTGGACAATTAGGGCAGGAGCGGTGACCGAGGCCGGGTTCTGGGTCTGGGCGGGGCCAGGCGGTGCGAGGTGCTAGGGGTCCGAGTGTGCTGGGGGCCGGAGGGAGGGGCGTGGCCGGGGCCGGGATGGAGGGGCGTGGCCGGCCCCGGCAGCCGTGACCCAGGCCGGGGTCCCTGTGGTCTGGGCCGCGTGTCTTACCCGAGCGAGGCGACCGTGCGGCAGAGGTGCAGGGGCGCCAGGCCCTCGGCGCTGAGCAGGTCGGGGTCGGCGCGGCGCTGCAGCAGCAGCTGGGCACAGGCCGTGTGGCCCCCCAGGCAGGCCTCGTGCAGGGGCCCGCGGCCACCGGGGCTGGCGTTGGGGTCAGCGCCTCGGCCGAGCAGGTGGCTCACGCAGGCGGCGTTGCCTCGAGCCGCTGCGATGCACAGGGGCGTGGTGAGCTCGCGCTTGTACTCCAGGGTCCAGAGGCCTGGGAGAGAGGGGCAGGCAAGGTGAGTGGGGGGCACAGTGTGGGGCGGCGCCCCAGAAGGCTGGAATAGGGTGAAACCAGGTACCAGTGGGCTTGTAGGGAGATGGACACAGACGGTTGGGACAGAAAAACCCAGTTCGATCCAGAGGATGGGGTGGGGGCTGGGCAGAGGAGCAGAGAGAGGTATAGGGGGAAAGCGAAGCCCAGGAAATGGAAGGACACACAACACACACAACACACAACACACACAACACACACACAACACACACAACACACACAACACAACACAACACACCAACACACACAACACAACACACACAACACACACACAACACACAACACACACACAACACACAACACACACACAACACACAACACACACAGAAACAGAGCAGCGACAGCGAAACCAAATGTGGGGGTGTGGGGACTCGGGTGCATTCCAGGGTTTAAAAGCCACCAAGCAGGTGGACAGTGGGAGATTTAAGCGAGGAATTCACATTCTTTAGGCTCTAAATTCAGGGCAGGTTAAGGGAGGAGAGTCAGCTGTGGGCTTTTCTGGAGCCCGGCTCTCTCATCCAGCCCCGCACGCCCTTCACCATTAAGCAGAGACGCAGCAGACAAAACAAACTGACCCAGAGCACCAGCGTCGCCCCAGAGAAGGACTCAGAAAGTTTAGTCCTCTTGGAAGTGGCAGAGTTTCAGAAGCCGCTTTGAAGTGCTGGGCCACGTTCAGCACAATTCCTGTCTGTTTCTTTGCGCTTTTTAGGGTTTGCGTGCGTGTGTGCGTCCGTGCCTGTGTGTAGGTGTCTGTGTGTGTGTGTAGCATTGCTCTTTCTTGCGGGATGAATGGAGCAGGTGCCACACATCTCACTTCTCTGAAAACTTTGGGCTTTCAAAAGGTTCGTGGAAGGTTGTTAGCAGCCAGGACGCCCGTGGAAATGGGGGAAGCGGCCCCTGGTGAATACACTTCAAGGGACGGCATTTCACACGGCAGAGATGCCTCCTGATAATGATGGAAGAATCGATACTGTGGCTCTAACGAGCTGCGGAGGGGACCCTTTCACAGGCCACCTCCTTCCTGGGACTCTTGCTGTGCAGCTGCGAAAGAGCACTCCTAATTACCTCCCTGCCCCGCGTCCCCAGGGCCCGGCCTGGAGGTCCTTTGCACACTCCGTGGGTGAGTGTGGGGGCCTCTTTTCCTAGCGGTGGGCGATGGTGGCCAGAGGCCCAGGGGACATGGGCGTGCTCGGCTTTGGGCTGCTTTCCCCGTGAAGACCGAGTCCAGTTTGGAGCCGGGAGGATGGGCAGAGTCCTTCATGATAATGGTGACCCACATTCCTGCGGGACCGGCTCCTGGTTCTCGAACGCTCTCATTTTCCTGCGATGGGAAGTCTGCTTACTAGGGGGCCAGGAAGGGGAGCTTTATCCCCTGGGGCATGCCGAGTTCTCAGCCCAGCTCCACCCACACCAGCGGCTCTGTTCAGCCACCCTGGATTCCCGTGTCTTCCCTGCGGACTGGCGGGAGGGGCTTTGCTGGGCATTAAGCTCCGCCCTAGCGCAGGGCCAGCAGCCGTGTCCAGGTCCCGGGACATGGCACTGAGCTTTCAGCCTGCAAGAGAACCGGGTTCGGAGGCAGCTCTCTGGGTCAGAAAGCCCGAGTCAGCTTCCTGTCGTTCCCGCCCCGGCCCAGGTTCTGCCGCCTGGAGGGACATGGTGTAGGCTTCTCCCCGCGTGGGATATCCCGCAAACGTCGGCTCCTCCGTGCCGATGCTCTCCTTGGACTGCAGGCCGACGGGGCCAGCCTTCCGTCAGGGTGCTGTGCCGAGGGGCCGGCCACCGTGACCCTATGAGCTGTGCCCCCATCCCAGCGGGACTTGGCCTCATATGAGAGGGCGGAGCATGTGGGACCACTGTTCTCAAACAGCCTTTGGGCCAGGCAGGCGGCGGAGCCGAAAGAGCAGGGACCCCGCAGCCCTGAGCCTGCGCCCCCCTTCCCAGCCTGCACCGCGGCCGCGGGTGGGTCCGCGCTCTCCGCGCCGGCCTTTCCTCCCTAGCGGCTCACGGCCCTGTGCGCCCGAGCGTCCTGTCGCACAGGTGTGCCGCACGAAGGTGAGGAGGAGGAGGAGGCCCGTGGACTCAGAGCTGGGCCGACATCGATATCTGTTTGAAACTGCAGCATTTGAGCTTGAGCGAGCATCGAGGGCTGGGAGGCATGTGATTAAAAAACAAAACCCAAAACATTAATCGAGCATCCAAACATTTGGCATTCTTGGTTGAACCGCCACGCAGTCCTTGAGGACTGTGTGTCTTGTCTGGGGCAGGTGAGGGAGAGGAGACCCAGACCAGCTCAGGACCCCCTCGGCTGGGGGTGGCGTAGGCCAATAGGAACGCATTTGCCTCCTTGCAGCTCCCCCCCAATCCCCAGCTGGCACAGCTGCTCTTACAGTGTCTGGGTTTACCACCCTCCTCTGTGAGGTGTAAATAGAACTGTGTCTGTTCTTTGGAGCTCATGTGTTGGGGACATGTGACGCTGGCCATTGGCATACTGACTGCAGAGTCTGAATCCTCCTGGTCTGGCAGAGCTGCTGCGGATTCCAGCACATGACCCTCTTGGTAGCTGTGATGCGTCTGGCACACGGAGGAAGGGTGCCCAGTACACGGTGCCAGCCAGGAAAGCCCGCTCAGCCTGGCGGTCAGCAAGACCATTCATCCCAGGGAGGGGGTGAGAGGGCGAGCTCCCCACTTGTGGGGTCTCTTGCCCGCCAGCACGCAGCGGTGTTCAGGTGGCAGGTGTGCACCAGGTAGATGATCCAGAGACCTCTGGTTTCTTCGCCCTCCTCCCCACTGTCAGGCGGAGCGTGTGCTGAGAGCTCTCTCTCTCTGTTGCTGCTGGCCGTGCCCCAGCCACCCCCTGGAGCCGCAGTGTTCCCGGGTTCAGAGCGGCACTTCGGGGGCCTGCCCTGGGCATCCTCGAAGCAGAGGCATGCCTTCTCCACCCCCCGCCTCCCCGGCTGCCAAACGCCTGGCAGATCAGCACGCGCACCAACGCTCCGTTTTAAAGGCCAGAGGCACCTCCGGCGGGCGTAGCTCACACCTTGGCTTCCCACCATGATGCCTCACAGCCCATCGCCCAAACCCTGCACCCTGAACTCCTGCGAACCGGATGCCGCCGCCGGAGTCCTCCGCTCGCGCGCGTGGAGTGCAGCGCCGGCGTCGGCAGTCCGCAGGCTGGGGCCACGCGTCCGAGCGGTGTCCGTGGCTCCTTAAGAATGAATCACTCAGCTTTGGAAGAGCAAGGGTACCTGACGGGCCAAACGTGGCCGGGGATCTCACCCGCCACCCCGTCTCCTCCTTCTCGATCTCGACACCACGTTGGCATCTCGGAAGAACTGGTCCGTGAGAGGCTCGGGGCGGGGCAGGTCTCCCATGACCAAGGCAGCGCGGTGCTCCAGGGCCAGAACCCAACTCTGGCCTGAGGCTCTTTTTCCACCTTCTGGAAGATTCTCAGTGCTCCTCTCACTGGCTCTGGCCACCTCTCCATTGCAATGGCGTTGATTTCGGGAAAGTTCTTCGAGAAGGGGACAGATGGCCTTGTGGCATGTGAGCTGTTTCTATCGTCATGACTCAGTTGTCATGCAGTTGGGGTGCAGTGGCGGTGTATTTACAACTCCCGTGGGCTCCAACAAAGGTAACAGTTACTTGGTATCTATCACCAGCGTCACGTGACCACCAAGACGTCAAAGTGCTCAGCCACCCCCTCGTGACTCTATAAACGTGAACCCCACAGAGACACACCTTATGTCTCCGAGACTGCTGTTCGCACAAGGGCAGACACCCCACAATGGTCAGGACTTCTCTGTCCTGCTCTGCGCGGTGTCCTCGCTTTCATGCTGCTGTGACCGTGGTGAGTGCACCATGCTGTGTTTCGAGGGCTGTGTCAGCCCTGAGGACGTGTGGGGGAGGCGCAGCGGGCGCTGCGGGTGAGCCGGCGGCAGGGGTGTCCCTGGGGGAGGCTCCAGAGGGCAGACTAGGGGTTCCCAAAGCCGTCATCTGAGGCCCCCGGTGGCCTGTTTCTTCCAGGCGCTGAGAACTGATCCCGGAACGTGCATCCTTTGCTGAAGATGAGATGTGCCACGGCTTCTCAAGGGTCACACAGGAAGAAGTGGTGACCGGAGGCCCCGAACACAGGAGTCCTCCGGCTCGCCTTTCCCACCAGCGGAACCACGTCCTTCGGTGATGGGGGACGACACTGCTTCCTGACCCAGCCGCCCACCAGTCCCGTCCAGTCGCACCGTGCTTCGGTCCAGCCACATTTCTTTCAATTATATCATCCTCATCCTTCTCAGCTTGGTCAAAGCCAACGCACAGCCTTCCAGCTGCAGCTCAAATCCGACCTTCTCGGCCTACTTCGGTCTGCGTAAAATCTCACTGTCTTCACATAGGAAGTTTCTGAGCGATCATCAAAATCTTTGAGAAACGACGATGACACAGGAAGACCCGAAGATGAGAATTTTAGTGTTCAAATAGGAAAAGAATTCGATTCCCCAAACGTTTGAGTTGACGTCAGTCCTGGGCGAGCTCCCTCAATGGATTGTGGAAAAGATGGACTGAGAGAAGTTAGAAAAGGGGGTGGGGGCGCTCGGAGCTCGGTGGGCCGCGAGGAACACAGCAGGGCGGACTAGGAGAATTTCCCTTTGTGGCATGACGGTTTCATTAGTATGCAGAGGGGATGTAGGCGCAGGTATGTGTATTTCAACCTGTGATGGAAGGCTTCGTGAACACCTTTTAGAGAAGATGGAAAAAATATGAGTCTTCCTTTAGGAAATTCTTGCTATAAAGCTCAAACTGGAGAAATAATACACACAATACCTGTAGAGCAGGAGTTCAATCCCTGGCTAAAAGTTGGAATTCCCGGGAGCTTCAAAAAATACTAGGTCCTGGCCTCAGAGAGTCCGGTGTAAAGGGTTGGAGGATGCAGCCTAAGCACTGAGCGGGTGTCCTGCAGCCTCCTCCTCGTGGCCTGCACACGTGGAGAAGGGGTTCCGCCCTGTGGGGACGCCCGCCTGCCCCCCGTTTCAGCCTCAGCTGGGTGGTCCTGCAGAGCTCTGCAGCGGTCATCCTCAGACGCTTCTGAGGAAAAGAAAACCATCTGCCAGTTGATGGCAGGGGGCAAAGATCTTGAGGTTCCATGACAATAATAATTACCGTTTGAACACGACCATTTGTCGAGAACCCTTTGAATCTGTACTGTGTCACGCGCCACATCATCCACCAGTACGGCCCCCGCCCTTCCATGGAGTCACTCAGGCCATTGGTAAACGCATTGTTTCGGGTCGGGCTGGAGCCCGAGTCTGCGCTTCCCCTCGGAGAAGTGGTTCTCGCTGCTGCATGGTAGACGCGCCTGGCTGGCCACGGGGCCGAAAGAAGCCACCATCCCCTGGTGTTCTCGGGGACAGGCAGATGTGCGGATTCTTTCCTAGGCCATTGGGCAAATGTCTGGCTTCCTCTGGGCCAAGTGTCCAAGTGCATGGACAAGCTAAGGCAGGACGCCACTCCCCTGTGGACGTCGTGAGATTCTGCGCATTTTCTCAAACGGGCCGATGTGCCTCGTTATGCCGGTCAAGTGTGTGCTTCCTACACGAGCGGCTTCTATAAATGGCATTGATAAATGGCAAAATCCAACCGGCCCCCGGACGCCAACGCCACCACCACCCGGCACGACAGCCCAGGTCTTACGGTGCATCTACTTTCACACCTGTCGTGAGCCTCACTTTCCCCTCTTAATATCCAGAAGACATTCCTCCTTCGTCTCTGCTCCCTCCGGCTTTTTTAATTAAAAAAATTTTAACAAGAAGCAAGCTGGGCAGGTGCGTAAGTCTCCGCTCCGAAGGGCTGCAGGACCCATCCGCCCGCCCACCTGAGGTCATCACGCACGCAGGTACTAAATGTCAAAGCTGTAAAAGCATCACCACCTTCTTCTGAAAAGCGTTAGCAGAGCACGCCCCATTCAACACGACATGGCAGCGTTCGACGCCCTCGGATCAAGCGCCTCGATTAATAACGACTTAAACCGTCTGTGCCGACTTTGCATCCCTAAGAAACCTCATTCCCACCACGTGGACGAGCGCACATGGGGAGAAAAAGGCCTCGGGAATGTTTTTCCCCGACGTGGCTATGCCGCAGATCCTGCACGACAGCAAAGTCACGTCTCAGTGTGAATGCTGTCCTGTCCCAAGGTCAAGGGCTGCTTCCATCGGTCGCCTGGGGACCTTTTTTGTGAGACTGGAAGCGAAGGTGCCTTCGAGCCTGCGAAGGTGCCTTTGAGCCCGCGTATCCGCCCCGGCTGAGCGTGAAGCGGGGCGGCGGACCCCTGCGGAGCCGCTGCGACTCAGTGGACTGTGCTGGGGAGCGTGTCGTTGACGCTGTCTCTGATAAAGGTGACGAGGTCTCTTTACCACGGTCGTGGGGATTTAATTACACGGTGAAATTGCAGCTCCTGCCTCTTGAGACAAATTGCATATTCACACTGATTGTTTTTTATGAATCTCACACAGGGAGCAAAATACCCTCTTGAAGCTGGATTGGTCTGATCGCTGTGTCCTGTCATCCTTGATGTCCCTTCTGGAAATGAGACATTTACGGGTCCCGCAGTGAAGGAGGGTGGGCTCCCGGCGGAGTCCTTGGCTGCTCTGCAAGTCCGCGTGGAGCGAAGTGAGGCCAGCGCTGTCTGGTCGATTCTGAGTTCATTCTACTAATGTTTCTGCCGGCAAAAAAATGGAAACTTTGAACTTCCAACAGAAAGCTAGGAAAGAGACATTATAAAAAGTATAAATGACTATTAAACACACACGATTTCTGATTTTACTAATTTAAAATGCAAGTTAAGAGAACAAGAAGCTCGACTTCTTTCAAAATGTCTACTGTTCACGAAATTCTGTGCAAGCCCAGCTTGGAGGGCGATCACTCTACCCTCCCAAGTACACATGGATCAGTCAAAGCCTACGCCACCTCCGATGCCGACTGGGATGCTCCGAACATTGAAACGGCCATCGAGACCAAAGGCGTGGACGAGGTCAGCATCGTCAGCATTTTGACCAACCGCAGCAACGAACAGAGACAGGATATTGCCTTTGCGTGCAGAGAGGGAGTAACAAGGAACTTGCTTCAGCACTGCGGTCAGCCTTGCCTGGCCACCCGGAGACAGAGATTTTGGGCCTTTTGAAAACACCTGCTCAGTGGGATGCTTCGGAGCTGAAAGCCTCTATGAAGGGGCTGGGGACCGAGGAGGACTCTCTCACCGAGATCATCTGCTCAAGGACCCACCGAGAGCTGCAGGAAATTAAGAGTCCACAGGGACATGCACAAGACTGATCTGGAGAAGGACATTTTTTTTCCAACACGGCTGTTGACTTCTACAAGCTGATCGTTGCCCTCACGTAGGGTAGCAGAGCAGAAGATGGATCTGTCATCGGTTATGAACCGATTGACCCAGGCGCCCGGGATCTCTGCGACGCTGGAGTAAACAGATGTTCCAAAACGGATCAGCATCATGACCGAGGGGAGTGCGTGTCACCTCCAGGAAGTATTTGAAAGGTACGAGAGCGACGGCCCTTATGACATGTTGGAGAGCATCAGGAAGGGAGTCAGGGGAGACCTGGAAACTGCGTTCCTGATCCTGGTCCACTGGGTCCAGAACCAGCCCCTGTATTCTGCTGACAGACCGTGTGACTCCAGGCAGGGCAAGGGGACTTGTGATAAGGTCCTGCCAGGGTCGTGGTCTCCCGCAGCGAAGTGGCCGTGTTGAGAATTAGGTCTGAGTTCAAGAGAAAGTACAGCAAATCCCTCTACCGCGCCATCCGGCAAGACGCGAAGGGGGACGATCAGCAGGCACCGCCGTGATGAAGCCTGTGCCAGCTCGGGCATCCGGGAGCCGTGCCCCATGCTTCCAGCTAACGGTTCTAGAAAACCGGCTTGCGACTAGAGCCCCCTGCGCTCAGCCCCGTGAGGATGATGTCAGCACTGCCCTCTGCCCCAGCATTGCCTCGCTTTCTCGTCTAGTGTCTCCTTTTAGCCAAAGAAACGAACAATCCAAAAAGTTGGGAGTGAAATCTGTGATGTGAAACACTTTGCCTCTTGGGTACTCTGTCGTAAACACGTGAATCAACTGAATTTTACTTTAGAAACAAACAAAAATAACAAGAGATCTTTGCCTATGAAATTGTGAAATGTTTTTTAAAAATCACATTTTGGGAGATTGGTGAAGCTGAGCCTCTCCTAGTTTGCAGGTGGGAGGGCGAATTTCTATAGAATGTGGAGAAAATCTCTGCTGAGTTTGCACGTACCGGGCGTGTCTCAGGTGCCCGAAGCCCTTGGAGAGAAAGAGTGGACAGTTTTGCCTTGAAGCGATGCTATGCTCAGAGG